GAGACTGCCAGATTTTAACGAGTACGTTCGCTCATTCAGTACAGACAGACACCACTGCTATCAACACGTCTGCCTGTTTCTCTTTACTTCAGTCAGTGTTAACAGGGTGAAGACATGCTCAGGCCTGTCTTCGTGGTAGGCAAACTTTGGCGTTCATAGACAATAATATGCATAAATTTGTGATCTAACCGAGGGATATTAACTGGGATTTTGTACTATCCATCTCGATATCCCCTCCGCCGGCCATAATACACAGCAGACATAATTCATCTAGTGGTAAAGTTACATATTTTCAGCTTCATGATTCTGAGAAAATTCTTATACATTCGCTACAAATAACTCCCAATATGTTACAATGGGATTCTAGAAAACCTTAGATATGGCCACATAGAACCTGTGTACATAAATGAATCAAATAGCTACAACTAGGATTGGAAAATGCATTCACGCTAAGGTCATTTGGCAGTGACAGACGCTCCGTCTCATCTAGTAGAATTAGCTGCACTTCGGGACCAAGATGATGGCTTGAAGCTACCTGTTAATATGGTTGAAGCTGCAGAGGCACAGATCTTCCTTCTCTTGGATTCTAGGTCCAATCGTTTCTTATCAGGTACGGATGATCTAGATGATCCATGGAAGATGGAGGAAGCATGAATCAATGCCCGCTTATCCCTTCTGTTCTTCTCAAACTTTGAGGAGAACTTCATGCGAGCAGCAGCTGCAGAATCTTGTTTGGTTGCGGGAAGCAATCGTATACCGAGGCCCATCTTACGAGAAAAATTTTCTTCTTCAGCAACTCTCTTCTTTTGATTCTGAGAAGATGGAGGGAAGTGTATTAGCATAATCATTGGAAGATGAAGGTGAGAAAAATGGAAAGGATTAGATGACATACTCTAAGCTGAGCTCGAAGTGTCCTGTTCAGAGTACAGTCATCTGCATGCCTAGAATCTGAGAGTCGTTGGAGGCGCACCAATACTGGCTCAGCTTCTTTCTTCTTCTGCATATCCTTTTCCTGGTGTTCAAGTCGATAAAATGGATCTGCAAGCTTACCCCTTTCTGTAAAAGATATATTAAAAAGGGTTAGTAATTCTAAAATAAAATTATATGGACAGGAGATTTAACAATGAAACCCAATGAAAGGCCAATTAAGTTTGATGACCCTGATAAGTAAATGTTATAAACGTTAACAATCGTCACCTTCATCAGCCGGTAGTTCAAAGGTTTCGGCATCCTCTATGTCATATTCCTCAGTTTTTCGTTGTGCACCACTAATAATCACATACTCGCAATTTTTTGGATCTGTCTGAATAACAATCTCGTGTCTACAGCATGCTGATTTCATAGTAAAGCTCCATATCTGAAAGAATCAAGAAGATAATATTAGTCACTGAAAAGCTCTTATAGTGTGATTTCTACAAACTGATCATGTTTTTTCTAACAGGACATTACAACCACGAGAAATCACCATTCACCAATGTGTATATTGAAATTTTCATAGAAAAATAATCCATCCATCAGAACAAAGTTATTCAGAAAAGCTTTCTGTTAAAGAGATCTGTTGTTTATAGGGAAAAAGACAATACCGATTAAATAAGTTTATAGTTATAAATTAGGTAGCAGCACGAATACAGAAATGCTCCACTAAAGAATTTAAAAAATACGGAGCAGAATCAAACTTACTAAGAAAAATGTGAACAATAAATATATCAACATTGCATGTAAATACTAGACAAGAATGTATGCATATGGATTGCTAAATCAATGATAAAACAAAATGGGGAAAAAAATGATACAACATTGTGTGTGTAAAACTATGTGGTAATAGTCTCATTGCATATTAGAACCTTCAAAAGCTAAATATGTTACAATTAGCCATGAACAATACATACCTTTGTAGAATAATAATTTCCAACTTGCTTTTTCTCTGCATTGAACCTAACACCCTTTGCTATCATTGAGTTGCAGCCACCACACCATATATTGTAAGGCATCTCGAACCTAACAAAGCAACACGTCTCAATTGATTAAAAAATATTAGACTCTGTGAATTAAGCCATCAACATGGAAATTTCCTCACTCCAGTTTTTCAAAAAATAACATAATCCCCTGCTTTAAAAAGGACACCCTAGGCAACAGTATTGAAGCACCAAGCCAAGAAGACCTCTCTAAGGTGCATGCTTCAGCACCATGCATCACACTTCTGAGTTTTTAATTTTTAATTTTTAATTTTTTTAAAAAAGCTTTGTTATGGCAGGAATGCCTATTTCCAAAGATTACACAATACCTCCCCAAAATCTGTTGATGATATTCATATTAGTCACATAATCAAATAAAAACATCAATTTTATAAAAAGCAGATATAATAAAAAAAATAAAAACATTGATTCCAAGCCAAAGTTCTCCAACAATGTGTTCTCATTAGCCACCTACCTTATTATCAAGATGCCTTGATCTATTTTCCTTGCTCTCTCTCTCAAAGCATGTTGACCATGAAATTTGTTCAAAGACCCCTGAGAAAGAAAAAATCAGCATGAGAATCTGAAAGGATATAGATATTTCCTTTGAAAAAAAATTATTGCACTACTATAGTTGAATGAGAAATGTACCTGTTTTGGGGTCCATTCTGGTGGATAGTAAAAGTTGTCTGCTCTCGCAGCTGCAAGTGAAGACTGAAAAATGCAAACCACCAAACGTCATAAGCATTAACGATTCAACATGTATTGCCAAGAATATATTTATAATTCATTCCCTAATAACTTTTTCTTAAAAAAAAAAAAAAAAAAAAAAAAAAAAAAAAAAAAAAAAAAAAAAAAAAAAAAAAAAAAAAAAAAAAAGATAAACAATAAAAAAAAATTAAATAACTATAGATATATACACAATCCACTTTGCATATCGAGTTGATTGGCTTCCAAGGAAACAGTTTTCACATGAAATACAATCTACCAAAATTTATGAAGTAAATGTAAGAGAACTTGCCTACCTAATTACAGAGTCAACTTAAGTGAACAACAAAGGAAGTTCGAGATACTCAGCCATTCAAACAGAATTTATTCCAGAAGTACACTAATTCTTGGTCTAAACATTAAAGGTCTCACCTAAGGGGCTGTATGACTATGTTTTTCAAACGCATTTCAGAACAAAAAGAAATTATAAAATTAAAGTATAAATTACTATTATAAGTATATAAACCATTTTGGCTAACTGTTTTTTCTGACATGAAGTTTTTCTTCTAAAATTATTATCTTTAAGAGCATGTACAGAACACAGGTTTGAAAATAGTTTTTTCTAGACAACTCTAAATTACTAGGCACAATCCATGCATGAACCATTTCCAGAAAATTAAATTTCAGGTTAAATCCAACAACGGGTTCCAAGATTTTGGACCTAAATCACTTGTGATGGATATTGATTTCAATAACTAAAACTATTTGATTCCCCCCGTGACAAAAGATAGCCAATACATATACAAACCATTATGGTTAAATGTTTTTTCTGAAGAATAAAATTCACGTTCTCCTATCCAGATCCAATGTGTTCTCTCGCACTGACATGATGTTTTTCTTCCGAAATTAAGTTCTGAAAACATATATACAGAAGCACGGATTTGAAAGGACAGACCTGAATTTCTTGGCATATTCCATCCAAGAACCATCCCCAGAAATCATTTTCCAGGTTAAATCCAAACAACGGGTTCTATAAATTTCGACCTAAAACAATCGTGATGGGTAATAACTTCACTTAACAGAATCATTCGATTCACTTACGAAAACCGATAACCAAAAATACTCTTTCAGATGCATCCGCTAATCTCTTTCAAAATAAAATAATAACTAATGATAATCGCTCGAACATAGGGCAAACAATCGAAACTAACAAACACTAGTCTAAACCCAGATTGCTACGAACAAGTTGAATCGGAACAAATAGCAATAAACCCTAGAAATGAGAAACAAAATCACATACCATTATGAATCGTCGTCGGCTTCTTCAACTTCGTCGGATTCCAATTTCCAGCTGCGAATTCAAAATTGGCAATCGTTAGTAGAGAGATTACATTTATTTCGTACTGTAGTGTTTATATACTCTTTTTACGCGTGCCATTCTGGAACAAGGATGGCGCGCTTGCTTACGAATGGGCTCATTTCTTGTAATGGGCCAACAAATTACGAATTAATTATAGCCCAAAGGGCCTTAAACCCATGGGCTCATTTCTTGTAATGGGCCCACAAATTACGCATCAATTATGGGCCCAAAGACCTTAACACATGGGCTCATTTCTTGTAACGGGCCCACGAATTGCGCATTCATTATGGGCCCAAAGGACGTTAACGTAGTGCTCATGGGTCGACGAATTACGCATTAATTATGGGCCCAGAAAACCTTTACGCATGGGCTCATTTCTTGTAATGGGCCCACGAATTACGCATCCATTATGGGCCCAAAGTTCCTTAACGTATGGGCTCGTTTCTTTTAATGGGCTCACAAATTACGCGTTTATTATGGGCCCAAAGGACCTTAAAGTATGGGCTCGTTTCTTGTAATGGGCCCACGAATTAAGTATTAATAATGGTCCCAAAGACCTTAATGCATGGGCTCATTTCTTGTAACGGGCCCACGAATTAGGATGAATTATGGCCCAAAATACCTTAACACATGGGCTCATTTAGCTTGTTGTATATCACATATACCAAATTTCCACATTGTGGCAAGATAATATTGCATTAATATAATGAAATATACTCGATTTATTTAGTTATATGTAAATACATACTCAATATCTTTATTTGTCGCTGCCATACTGTTTGCAAATATAAGCCCACTGCTAGCCGATATTATTCATTTGGGTCTATTATGTATCATCATCAACCTCATAATTTTAAAACGCATCTGCTAGGAAAATGTTTTCATACTTTTATAAGGAATGGTTCGTTCCCCTCTCTAACTAAGAAACAAGGGTGTTTTTCCAATTCATTTCTATTTGCTTGTACATTCTCGAACTGAAATCATCTCTCTTGTAGCAATGAGTTACAACAAGTATATGATTGCTGAAATTAAATTGGGATAACGATGAACTTGAATAAATAATTCAGGCTTCTTGCTTGTTATCATCACCCATCTGTGTCGTATGAACTCGGCTCCTCAACTCTTCAAAAGCCTTCATGCTCTCTGCGTCAAAACCTCCCGCAAACTGGGAACATATTACATCCAATATGTCACCCACACTTCTAAAATTTTCAAATACTATAAGGTTCTTCGGGTGAAGAATGGAGATGAAATGTACCTGATGAACACGGAACGCGAAGCGGACGCCTTGCAAGACCAAAAACTCTCTGTTCGGCTCCTTCTCGGGTTCACTCATTGCATCAAGTTCTGATGCAACACGCTTCATGTATTTCCTTGCTAATTGTACTGATGAGAGCTTAATCTGCATTTGTAAAAGTACGATATTGTCTTCTTTAGGCATTTCCTTCGAGGGCTTCCCCTAAAGGTTTTAAAACGCGTCTACTAAGAAGAGATTTCTACACCGTTATAAGGAAGACTTCGTTCTCCTCTCCAACCGATGTGGGATTTCACAATTCACTCATCTTGAGGGTCCAGCGTCCTCATTGGCCCAGTTTTTGGATTTGATACAATTTGTAACGGCCCAAGTCCACTGCTGGCAAATATTGTGCTCTTCAGGATTTCTCTCAAGGTTTTGAAACTCGTCTATTAGGGAGAGGTTTCCACACCATTATAAGGAATGCTTCGTTCCCCTCTCCAACTAATGTGGGATCTCACAATCCACTCCCTTAGGGAACCCAGCTTCCTCGCTAGCACACCGCTAGTAGATATTGTCTTTTTTAGGTTTTTCCTTCAAGGGCTTTCTCTTATAGTTTTAAAATACGTCTACTAGAGAGAGGTTTATAAGGAATACTTCGTTCCCCTCTCCAACTGATGTGGGATCTCACAATCCACCTCCCTTGAGAGCCCAGCGTCCTCGCTGGCACGCCGCCGATGTTTGGCTCTGATATCATTTGTAACCGTCCATGCCCAACGCTAACCGATATTGTCCTCTTTAAACTGAATCTATTTGTGTTCCGTATCTAAAATGAAAACTAAACTCAAAACCCGAAGTTCTCAAAGAAGAAAAGATCGATCTTCTCGAAGTCATACCTTTCCAACAACACCTGTATCTGACAACCAATCAACTGGAATTCCAAACTCTCGATATCGCGAGATAGCCATGTCTCTTGTGCGTAGGAGTGCATAGACACTCTGCTCAACCCTGCCAGAAGACAAAGAACAAAAATAATGATTGGACATGACAACACAAATTGGAACATCCATGTTCCCAATAATGGAACATGGCAGCACAAGTTCAACAGTTGACTTGTTCAGACACAAGTTCTTTAATATGAACACCTTGTCGTTGTCTATACTTACTTCTCAAGCAAGGAGTACATTTTCTTTAAAGCTGCTTCACATGGAAGTTTCGGTTCATCGACGAACGTGGTGACCCGCTTCTCCAACTTCATTAGGTCCTGATACTCGAAAGACGCCTCTCTTAATGCATCTGCTTTTCCTTCTGGCCAATCAAAGTGCTTCAGGACAGCCCTTTCATCAACCTTAATCAAAGACAAGAAAGTACACTAATAAACAAGGAGATACATAGAATGAAATAATATTTGCATCTTCTTTGATGTAACACAAGTCCACCGCTAGCAGATATTGTCCACTTTGACCCGCTACCTATTGCCATCAACCTCACGATTTTAAAATGCATCTAGTAGGGAGAGGTTTCCACACCTTTATAAGCAATGTTTTGTTCTCCTCTCCAACCGATGTGAGATCTCACAATCCACCCCCATTGGGGACCCAACGTCCTCGCTGGCACACCTCCCGATGTCTAACTCTGATACCATTTGTAATAGCTTAAGCCCACCGTTAGTAGATATTGTCCCCTTTGGGCTTCCCTCAAGATTTTAAAACGAGACTAGTAGGAAGAGATTTCCACACCTTTATAAGCAATGTTTCGTTCTCCTCTCTAACCGATGTGAGATCTCACAATCCACCCCCCTTGGGGACCCAGCATCCTCGCTAGCACACCTCCCGATGTCTAGCTCTGATACCATTTGTAACAACTCAAGCCCACCATTAGCAGGTATTGTTATCTTTGGGCTCTCCCTTCTGGGTTTCCCTCAAGATTTTAAAACACGTCTGTTAGGGAGAGGTTTCCACACTCTTACAAGGTATGTTACGTTCTCCTCTCCAACCGATGTGGGATCTCACATTCGGTAGTCTTATATCTTTTTTATCAAAACTCAATCCATAATGGAGATTAGTAAATAAAATGAATGTCGTACCAAGAACGATAGCTCTTCGTCTAGCCAATTTACGAAGGCCACGACATCCTCTATATTAGAGAAGGTAGCTCCTCGAACTTCAGCCGCCAATGACATGACAAAATCGCCTTGAGTTTCCACATCAGCTTTAACCTGGATTTAGCAACGAACTTATCAACTGTCAAATTACTATATAATGGCAAGCTGAGAAGAGAATGATCTACTCACTGCTATGAGGAATGATGATCTGTTCTCAATCTCCCCAATCATGTTACTTCTAGCATCAGATACATTTGATGTTGTAGAAGAAAGTAGAGGAGTATCCTTCTTTGCCTCTCGTTTCATTAACGTCTGATAGAATTCAACTAACTCAGGCGCTCTATGAACCTTATCACCACCTACACCTTTAGCCAAGCTTCCCGGAGGAGGCGGTGGACGAGGCGGTCCACCAGGTGGTGGAGGTGGTGGTGGTAGAGGTGGAGCAGCTGGTACACCACCTTGAGGATTGGGACCTTTACTTACAGAAGCACCTGCTGATGGTTTTGGTGGTGGCTTAGGCGTTCGTGGAGGTCGCTTCTCGATCTCAGCTAGCTTCATCCTGCTTATGGCTGGAGACTCCGTCGTCTTATCTTCACCAGATGGATCAGCAGAAGCACTAGGTACAACTGGTTTTTCCTTTATTTGAGAAAGTTTTGGCGGCAAAGTTGCATATCTATCTTTATCTGTCTTACCTTTAAATTCAGTGTTCAAATTTGAATTTGAAATATTGCCAAACCTCTCTGCTCTTGCTTGATCAGCCCTTTCCTTAATTTGCTTCTCTCTTGCTAATGCCAGTTTATGTCGGTCTTTGTATGCTGGATATTTCTCATCTAATACTCCTTCAACTGATTTAGACATCAGCTGAAATGATGATGCTACTGAATTCAAGGATTCATTAGGAGTTTGAGTTCTGATAGTTGGCAGATTCGGGGTGCTTGGAGAGTCGGGAATTTCGTGTTCCATCATACCAAACGTGGTGATTGCAACATTGTCACTTGCATTTCTAAGCATCAATGCTTCTAATGGACCTCTTGGCTTCTGACTCATGCTCATCCTGCTCGGAGAACTCCCCGAAAATGATCTGGCTGGTGACGAAAGAGCGCTCGAATCATCTTTGCTCCGACCGCCCCATTTCTTCAACTTCTGGATCAAGCTTGGTTTCTTACTGAGGCTACTATATCTACTAAAGGAACTATCAATTGAAGCATTGTCAAAATCTTCACTTCCAGGAGAAGATGGTTGGGAGAAGTTGCTTTCGAGATCGGTGTCTCCTTGTCCACGTTCCGATCCAGCATACTCCAACATGAGTTGTTTAGCCTTCTCCTGTGATTTTGGGCTCAAATTCTTGTTGAGATCACGAGCGGATAGTTTTCCGGTAGGCGCCTGGTAGTTGCGGAGTTCATATCTTAGGCAGGCATTGACCCATCTAAGGTAAACTAATTCCTCAACTTCACTGAACCTATTCATTTGAAGTCCTTCAACTTGCTTTATTAAGTCCTCATTTGCATGCCTTAAACTGTTGACTTCCTCTCTAGTTTGGGATACCAATTCACTCTGCAACGTAAAAAAAGAATGAGCATTCAGGCATAGGAGACCTTTTTCAAGCAATAATTACTTGCCTGTTTGACCATACAAAAATCAAGTCTTTTGAGATAAAACTAAAAGCATCAGTGACATCATATTTGAGTTGCTATTTTCTAAAAAATCTGTCGTTTGAGAGAGGAACGAGTGCCAGTAAGGACGCGGGGCTCTAAAAGGGGTGAATTGTGAGATCTCACATCGGTTGGAGAGAAGAACAAAGCATTCTTTATAAGAGTGTGGAAACCTCTCCCTAGTAGACGCGTTTTAAAAACCTTGAAGGGAAGCCCAAAAGAAAAAACCCAAAGAGGATAATATCTACTAGCGGTGGGCTTGGGTTATTACAAATGGTATTAGAGCCAGACACTGGGCGTGTGTCTACGAGGACGTTAAGTCCCTAAGGGAGTGTGAGATTTCACATCGGTTGGAGAGGGAAACGAAGCATTCCTTATTATAAAGGTGTGGAAACCTCTCCCTAGCAAACGCATTTTAAAACCTTGAGGGGAAACCTGAAAGGAAATGCCCAAAAAGGACAATATATGTTAGCGGTGGGCTTGAGAGAACAAACATAGTGACTTATGACTTATGGCTTGGGCTGTTACAAACATGGTGACTTATTTGTAAGAGATGTTTCAAGTTCTTACTTCTGTCATGTTCGAGAGAGTCGAGATGCTATTCTCGGCAGCATCGAGTTTAATAGTCAGCTCCCGCTTTTCAATTTGAAGTTCTTTATTCATCCGCTTAAGCTCCATAACTTCAACCTCCAAATCCTTCACAGCTTTCAGTTTCTTTTCCATTTCATCATCTTTCCTTCTAGTTTCCATCTCCTTTGCCTGTAGACCAGAAACTTGTTGCTTAAGCAACAACAGCTGCCCTTTTGTTTGGTTAGCATCAAGCTGAATCTGCCTTTGCAGCTCCTTGATCTTATTCCTAGCAAACGCCAACTCCTTCTTAACCATACCATCTTGTGCAATCTCCTCTTGAAGCTTCTTCCTTTCAGCCTGCAAAGAGCTAATGGTAATATTAAGCATATCAATCTCTACTGCCTTGATCTTGAGCTGCCTCTGCAACTCCGTAATGTCGGATTCCTGCTCTTTTAATCCGTAGTATTCGAGCAGTTCACCTTCAAGCTTCACTTCCCTCTCCTCCAATTCCTGTACTAAGTTACGCAACTGTTCCAATTCGCTCGCGTTGTTTGCCATCTCGGTTTCATACACTCTATCCTTCTCGGCTTTGTCGTCGTCGATTTCAGGTAATGGAAACTCAATCTCCCCAGATAAAAGTTCTTCAAATTCAGGTAAAATGTCTTCATCTTCAGTTATATAAACAGGAACTTGATCAAACACACTACTTATTAACTTGACTTCTTCTTCCTCCTCTTCCTCCACCTAATATAAAAGAGAGTTCATTCAATTCAAGAAGGTATCCTAAATAGTTTCCAGGAAGCTCTAAACAATTACTTACATAATGTTTAATCTCCTCCTTCTCTTCACCATTTTCTAAGCAACAAAAAAGAATAATTTCAACACATCAGGCAACATAACAAAACTTATCCAGAGTTGAACAATGAAGAACTGTAGTTTGAATATAAATACCGGTGAGCTTGTCGACAGAGGCGACGGATTTTGAGTTTTTAACATTGATATGTCTTACAGCATAGGCTGCAACTGAAGCAGCTACCACAAGGCCTAGCCTGAGTACCATCAAGCAAATACTGACATAAAGATTTTAACTTCCCAGTTGAGATAACCCAGTTCTTCAAAACTGTAGCGCCCATTCCACCCCACCTCCATGGCTAACATTTCAAATCATTGTAGCCCCATGGAACCAGAGTATGCTGAGAATTTACAACAACTAGAAGTTTTAAGACAAATTTTGATGCTAACTAGCTAAGAGCCATGGTAGCCACCAATAACTAGTGGCCAGCGCTTATCCAAAAGGATTGCGTGCCAAGAATTTGTGGGTATTTAACATGTTGCACCACTCATTCAAAGGATTGAGCACACAGAGTATTAACACCAAAAAATGCTGCGTTAAAGCTCACCACAGACCAAGTGTGAAAGAAGATAGACACGAGCAAGGGCAAGGCTGTGACTTGATTCTTAGCCGCTTGCTCGATGGACCGAAGCATATGGAACCGTGCTGTCGAGAAGGCAACAAAGTAAGGCAAACTCAAAAGACGAATGGGCATGCAACCCACATGGTACCCTTTTTGGCATGTCTCTCGGGCTTCTTGTTTTCTTCTGCCAGCCGCTATCATCTTCGAAACAACTTGTTTAAATGGCTTAGACGGTTCATTAAAATCTGTCTTGAATGCGTGAAAAGTTTGAGACTGTAAAACAATGAAGAATGGAAAGTGATTTTTGGACATCAATTTGAGAATAGAGATGCCAATAAGTAGAGAATATTAGTGAGCCAAGCTTGCAGAATATGGCGAAAGGTAGCTTTCTGGGTCATAAATAAGAGAACCCAAACGCCAAAAAGTAATAGCCAATATGTCATGTCATCCAAGAGCGTGATTTTGTGGACCTTATTCATCCGCTTGGTTGACACAGTTTAGTTTCTTCAAAGTCGATAAATGTGAGATCTCATATTGGTTGGAGAGGAGAACGAAACATTGTTTATAAGGGCTTGAAAACTTCTTTTTAATAGACGCGTTTCAAAACCGAGAAGCTAACGGCGATACATAACGGGCCAAAGTAGACAATATCTACTGAAAAAGATTGAAATTTGGAATTGCCATTGAATCGATTCTTTTTAATGAATAAATCTGATCGCAACCCTGAAAAAGGATCCATGCCTAAGCTATGCACGATTGACCTATGCAATTAGTTACACTAGTCCTTGTTGAGCTATGTAGTTGATAGATTATCCAAAGTGTATACTACAATCAGTTGAACTATGCAGTCGACAGATCATTAGTACTCCAATCCAAAGTCACACGTATAGTTTTACTAGTTGAGTTATACCGTTAACAAACCATTACAAAATGACTTTATACGCCCAAAATTCCCTAATCTTTTGTTTATACACTATTCATTATGCAGAGAGAGAGAGAGAGAGTTCTTGTATACCCGAAAGTCTAAGGTTTTATGGTTTACACACATGAAGAAAAATGGCAGAAAAGGCTGTTTATTAAGAAGACAATGGCTTTGAATTGGAGACAAATGGCTGTTTGATGGTGGGAAGTGAAGGAGTATATTTAGGAGATATAGCAGTGAGCACCACAATTCCACCGAGCAAAGCCAAGGCCAGGCCTAGACTGTTGACAACCATGGCTTCAGGGCCTTTTCTAGGGACGTTTCTCTTTGTTTGCAACAATGTCAGCTTCTCTAGAAGCCCTGTTTCTGCTACTGTCACTGCCAATGCGTAACTGTATAGCCCAAGGAACACATGCCATGGCAGCACTCTTTCTCTTGTTGCTCTCACCTCCCTCCAATGCCAGAAGCTCAGAAAACCCATCATCCACTGCATTCAAACACACCATATTTTAGCTTAGTATCATCCGAATCGTCGCAGTTCGTTTGATTTGAATGTGTTTTGAGTAAGGGTTGGAAAATCTCAGGTTTTGGTCTCAACTTTATAGTTTAGCCCCGTATGGAGATGAGATTCGAACCTCTAGCCTTTTAAGTTTATAACATAACATTTCGTTAGGTAAAGTAGGACCATTTCAGAACCTGGGCATTCAAGGTCTTACAGAAAAAGACCATAATAAATGAGGGGCAGAGGACTCCCAATCAAGTTGGGATATAAGAAAGCAGCAATGGATGGCTCCTTCACATTGCCATCAAGAGGGCAAGGTGCTTCCTAATACTGAAGAAGAATTAAAGGCTTGCTTGTGATAATAACATCATATGTGTCCCATGGGTTACAATCCAAGGCTACCGCTAGTAAATATTGTCGTCTTTGAGCTTTTCCTTCCAGACTTTCCCTCAAAGTTTTTAAAACGCATTTGTTAGGGAGAGGTTTCCACATTCTTATAAAGAATGTTTCCTCTCCAACCAATGTGAGATTTCACAATCTATCTCCCTTCAGGGTCCAGTGTCCTCGTTAGTACTCTCCCATCGATGTGCGATCTCACAATCCACCTCTCTTTGGGGGCCTAGCGTCCTCGCTGGCACTCTCCAACCGACGTAGGATCTCACAATCCCTTCAGGGCCTAGCGTCCTCACTAGTACTCTCCAATCGATGTAGGATCTCACAGTCCGTCTCCCTTCGGAGGTCCAGCGTCTTCGTTGGCACTCTCCCATCAATGTGGAATCTCACAATCCACTCCTCCTCTTATAGCATGGCTGACACTCTCCCACACTATTGTCACTAGCAGATCTCAACAAGAATTCACAAGGCATTCATTCCAAGCATTGAATTGAAAAAGAAGAAACATTCTGGTTCTTCAACATTACATTTTAAACACATCTTTCTAGTTCAGTTCATCAAATTCAAGGCATGCAGGGGAAGAGTATATTAAGAATTTGATGGAAGTAAAGGGGTAAAGAGAAAGAGGAGAAAACCTGAGCTCCAAACAAAGTGAAAACGCTCAAACCCAACCAAGAATGTAAGCTGTGGAAGTTAGCCAGAAAGCCACGATCCCAATGAAACTTAGTCCAAATTCCAAAAATCCCAAAAGTCAAAGCCAGCCCTTGAAGAATCAGATGAACAGATTTCCTCAAATTCCTCGAACCAGGCAGCCAACTATGAACCAAAATCGCTGAAAATCATAGCAAAAAAACAAACACATGATACCCATTTCACAGATCAACAGATTGTATCAACATTTTGGGTCATACACACCTTCTCCGCTGAGTAGAATGAAACCAATTACCATGAACAAAGGATGCAGAACCTGCAAAGCAAAACTCAAACCCCTTTTATTCACACAAAATAAAACTTGGGTCGAAATCTAAATGGGTCGAAATTGGCATACATCGAAGATACGGTCATCTGGGGCCGGGGGAAGATGGCCGAAGCTAGAACTGAAGGCAAGAGCCCAAACGAAGATCAGAACGGCAACAAGCAGTCCCAAAATTCTGGCAAAAATGAGTAATGGGGTCAGTGAGGGCAATGCTGCGGCCATGGAGATGGAGAAGGCAGCCTGCAGCTCAACGATCTTGACGCGGCTGCGAGTGCAGAGGTTGGTAGGCTGTGCAAATCGCGGACAAAGAAACTGTGGGTCTACTTTAATTTATGGCTGCCGCTCTGCTGTGGAGTACACGGAATTGCTTTTGAAAACCAGACCTGGAAACTTATCTGGGGAACTGTGCATAGAGCCGATTTTTCATCTGGGACTTCACAAAATCGGATCGTTTAGAAGTTTCGATCACTAATTTTGAGAAAACAGGTCTGGAAATCGCACGGGTACTCATGGGGTTGGAGGGGGCAGGGGTTAAATACAGTCAACGAAAGATAAAAATATCCGTTTACTAAATTTGAAGGCTTGTGTAACGATGGAAGGATTGAACTTTGACTAGAATGAGAACTTTTTAGAGAAAATAAAATTTTTCCCAATCCATTGTGCTATTTTGGTGTTGTTGCTTCCATTTGTTTAAAAAAATATACATATTCTTACCAATCTATTAAAAATGTTCGACAAAAAATTGATGCAGAACAAGGTCAATTTTTTTAGTTAAATCTTAACGCGCATTTGTTGTTTTCAATTAAATCAAAACGAACATCTCACATCAATTTAAGAACTCTTTTGTCAACTTTCCATTCAACATTGTAACAGATTTTTTTATCAGTTTCAAAGTTTATCAATTTCAAAGATAGCTTTGAAACGTTTATGAACAAACATTTCAGGTCAATTTAAGAACTGTCTTGGCAACTTTCCATCCAACGTTGTAATAATTTTCTATTTCAAACATAATTTTGAAACATTTATGAAATGACTACATTGTAACTTTTGAAAATATAACAATATCTTTATCGACCGTTAGTTTAACCTAAAACAAAGCATAGAATGTTTGAAAACCACCAATCTTGGTAGTCTAACCCATTTGTCGACAGCCAATTCTTGAGCTCTGGCCTAACTTAAAGACGATAGCTCTCTCAACTCACTCATAAGACTAGTTCACCACTCAGAGGTCCCAATTCACCCCTGACGTTTCGTAGAATTATTGATCAACCCGACTACAACCTCAGCCTCAAGCATTGAGGATGCCGTTTTCAAAGGTTCAGGCTTCCACTAGGGAGTCGAAAGCATCAATCACCACAAGAGTGGTGAGGAAGCCTGACTGAGTCATCAGATTAGGCTTTCCGTACCGACATTCATTAATCATTAGTTTAAATCAATTGGAAAACTATTTCCCTAAAATGAAAAAGAGGAATAAAACAATAAAACACCAAAGTTTATAAAACATAAAATGATACATAATGATTTCACCAACTCGTCAAACAAGAGCCAAGTAACAAGACGCGCAGGTTGACAGTTAATTACAATAGAGAAAAACATCAAGAGGATGAGTTGAATAACTAGAACACCTTTAGTACATTTTGTGAATCGACAGAGCCTACAACACCAAATGCTTTCTTACAACTATGTCTGCACCTTTATAACAAGGAATATCACATGCTCTACTATTTATTTTCTGCACAACAGTATAAAACTCCAAGGAAAATTATAGCAGATCTTTGAGATATTAGCAGGCAGCTCATATTTGTATACAACAGTCGAGCATAATCAGGGTCACCTATGGATTATAGTTATGCATACCTCGCCCTCGACCCCTTCCACCATGGCCATATCCCCTCCCATAATAACCACCACGACGACCACCGCGTCCGGAACCAAAACCACCACGACCACCTCGGTATCTTGCAAACTCACCAAATGTCTGCAGCACCAAACAACATCAGATACTATGAAGAATGGTTCTAAAAACATACAACGTTAACCTATTCATATAACATACCTCAGTGTCCAACTTGATTTGTTCAAAGTATCTCGTCCTCCTACCGTTCTGAGCTTCATTGTTAGTAGTGTTGCTTGAGAGAGTATCAAAAAAGTCGTCCTTATTGTACACAGACTGTAGACATGATGTGAATCAGTTTTATGTGGGCAGGAAAGTAAGTATTTCTTTAACATAACAAGTCATAGCAAGTGTATGGCATTGAAAATAAGACCTTGATCCCCAACTTTGATGATTCACCGTCATCTTCTTCATAGGTGTCGTCTTCATCACTGAATTTTTCATCCCCGTCGTTGTATTTTGGAGATTTGGTATTCTTGCCAAGATGACCCCAGACT